ACTAGGGAGGTCGTTCAGGACGTGGAGCGCTTTTTGAAAACGGTTTTTTGCATGATGTGGGGTCACGTGCATGGAGTACCAAACTGGTGTTCATTTTTCCTGAACGCCTCTGGGAATGCCAAAAATGGAGTGAAAAAGAAGTCCATGGAAACCGACTGTTTTTGAGCCTGAATGGGCTCTAAATCACTCGCAACTTCGGCCAGTTGCTGCCTATAGGGTCCTTATAAAGGTACTGGTATCGATGAGAAAAGTAGTCGCCAATGGGGTCCTACTTGTGGCACGTAGTCCCCAATTTGGAGCCAAGTCTTTCTCCCACTGGAGTCGCTATGTACATTCGTTTGAGGGACTTGCAGGGCCATTCTGACGCCAGATTGGGTTGATGTCAAGAATAAGTGTCAGAATCGTGATCAGGACCATCGATTACCCCTATAGGCAAACTTTCGGCCAAAAAAATTTTTTTGACTTTTTTTGAGTTGTGATAGACCGACCATTTGGTCGTCGGTGATGACCGGAGACCCACAACTTTGGAGCTGCGATGACGTAGCGATGACGTGGTGGGCCGCCGGGCAGCCGCATCGCGGATTTGGTGCTCATAAGGTCCATTCATACTTGGCATGGGCATGGGTGGCCGCAGAACAAGTGAAAAACCATCCTGGACATTTGTCGACCCCCGCGACGGCTCGCTCAACGAAGATGTCGTCCTCCCCTACCAAGAGGAGAGACTCATCCGATTTCTTCATCAAATGCACCTGGAGGAATGATGACTATTTTGTTCTTTTTTCGATGGCGTTTATGGTTGTTGCTAGTTTTTTGTTTCCGTACCACTGAATGAGGGTTTCGATAACCAGCAAAAGTACGACTTCAACAAAGTGACTCTTGAGCATAACCCAATGCACAGACTCAAAAAAGTCAAAAAAATTTTTTTGGCTGAAAGTTTGCCTATAGGGGTAATCGATGGTCCTGATCACGATTCTGACACTTATTCTTGACGTCAACCCAATCTGGCGTCAGAATGGCCCTGCAAGTCCCTCAAACGAATGTACATAGCGACTCCAGTGGGAGAAAGACGTGGCTCCAATTGGAGATAAATGGCACTAGAGCTGAAAGTAAATGCCATAGTCGTGATCAGGGCACCGAATAACATATAAAGCTCAACTTTCAGACAAGTTCTTGCTTAATGGTATGTGAAATCGAAATTGCTGAATAGCACCGACTACGGGGTATAACTATTTAGGATGTGCCTATAAATGGCAGATATCCGAGTAAAATTCATTAACAGACGTATATGGAAGCGACAACAACGGAAAATAAAAAATGCAAAAACGTGCAAGCCGAGGGGAGTCGAACCATCATCCCCCATCCCCACCGTCTGCTTGAGAATCCTCCACGCTATCCACTAGGCCATCCGATCGTTGGCACAGCTACCACTTCGATTGCTTAAGAGCCCATTCCAACTAGCCGTCGACTCTTAACTACGTGCCACAAGTAAGACCCCATTGGCGACTACTTTTCTCATCGATACCAGTACAACTTTATAAGGACCCTATAGGCAGCAACTGGCCGAAGTTGCGAGTGATTTAGAGCCCATTCAGGCTCAAAAACAGTCGGTTTCCATGGACTTCTTTTTCACTCCATTTTTGGCATTCCCAGAGGCGTTCAGGAAAAATGAACACCAGTTTGGTACTCCATGCACGTGACCCCACATCATGCAAAAAACCGTTTTCAAAAAGCGCTCCACGTCCTGAACGACCTCCCTAGTAAGAGCTTTGAAGCTTCCGTGGACAGCGGTAGGGAGAGGAAGTCGGGAACGCTAATTCTCATCGACCTCACGTTCCGTAATGATAACCTGAAATTAACAAAAGTACACTCCTCATCATTACGGACTGTCGGGGCGTATCAGCCAGTAGGAGTGCGCACACTGTTTGAAGCCGTTCTCAGCCTTTTCGTTGAAACGCGTATGCGACAAAAAGTGGTAGAAAACGAGTAATACGAAGGATATAATGCTGTTATGTCATTTGATCGCTTCAACAACTGGTGCAGAAAGACTTTGGAACCGCGGAAAACGCAGCCGCACTGACCCGCCCCGACAGTCCGTAATGATGAGGAGTATAAACAGCTCTGGAGAACAGATTTCGGCACTATTGAACTATTCCTACCCCAAAACCTCAAAAAAATTTTTCGCTGAAACGTTGCCTATAGATGTAATTCGATGCGCTGATCACGAATATCACATCCGTTTCGAGCGCTGGCGTCATTTGGCGCCATTATGCGCCAATTTGGCGCCCACCACTTTTTTCACCAAAGTTGATGAAAACTTGCATATGGGGGTTAATTGAGGTCCTGATTACGAATCCAACATTTATTTTTGGCGCTGGCGCCATTTGGCGCCATTACGCGCCAATTTGGTGCCATACTGGCGCATAATGGCGCCAAATGGCGCCAGCGCTCGAAACCAGTGTGATATTCGTGATCAGGATGTCAATTAACCCCCATATGCAAGTTTTCATCAACTTTGGTGAAAAAAGTGGTGGGCGCCAAATTGGCGCATAATGGCGCCAAATGACGCCAGCGCTCGAAACGGATGTGATATTCGTGATCAGCGCATCGAATTACATCTATAGGCAACGTTTCAGCGAAAATTTTTTTGAGTTTTTTGGGGTAGTGCCCAATAGTGAACAGATTTCTATTGCAGTATTATAGAGCACGAAATTTGCTATCAGAACATGCAAAACATATCAGCGAAACATTCAACTATTAGCATAAAATTTCAGGTGGAACAGACGTGAGCCTGCCCAATATCGGCGAGGTGAAGGTTGCCAACTTTGAAATTCTTGAAATTAGTTCCAAAGCGTCCTATTGAGATTCCCTTGCTGAGACTTCTAGCTCAACCTTTTCCAAATGTATGGAGCAGCTTAAGCGATTTTAGCACTTCGAGTAGACGTAAATAGAGGCAGTTGTCGAAGGTGCTAATTTTCGCCGACTTCACTTTCAACTTCAACGACTAAAAAATTCACAAAAATCATTCCCTCAACCGAAGCTGTTTCGATATTCTTATACTACGAGAAGTTTCCTATCAGATGATATCAAGCTTGCTTGCAAAACATTTCACTTTTGGAACAAAATTTTCAATTGAAAAAAAACGCCATTACTTATGTGCCAACCCAATATCTCACCAGAAGCATAGACACCTTCGTTAAGTTGAAGCATGCGGCCACGCCCACCCGATCGCAGGAATTTTGAGTATATGTATGTAGCGACTAGCCCAAATATGAATGTATGCAGCACGAATCATCTTGAGATGACACCACTAGTCGGTGGTGGCGCTATGGCGAATAGTGACTTCAGCCCACCGTCGAACAGCGAAAATGGCACACTTTCACTTACCGTACTAACCTGGAACCTTTTTGAAGCCCTCTACGCAGCTCAGTTCATTCATCAGTTTCCTAAGAAAAAATTGAGGTTTTGTTTAGAATTTCATTGATCTCTGAGAGTCTCGGATAATGTCGATCTTCATTCTCTATTGTTTTATAATCGAAAATACAGTTTCCGTTGCCGAAGAAAGAACAACGTAAACAGCGAAGCAGCCTCATAAATTCACTTTCTCAACAGGTTATGCGATAATAGAAACTCATCGCAAACATCATTTGAGTACTCGCTGGACACAACACTTTCGGATGTGCTCGGAAAGCCACATCTTTGCTGCGAAAGGACACCCGTGAGTACAATACGAACATATTGTAAGAGGTCTGAGCGTTCGAGATTGATCATATCCTCTTCAGATAGGGTGGAACGAGGGCGAGCTTGTAGAGCAGGACAACATTCTGGACATTCTCAAGCAGGTTTATTGCCGTTCAATCACACACTTTGCCGATTTCGTTGCTGTTTGCCCTGAATTGAACCTTCTAGAGGACAAAGATAGGGTATATTCCATAAATACTATTCTTAGAGCATTGAACAACCTGATACTTAAAGGCAATTGGCACGATAAATCCCCAAGACATGTAGGATTGATACGCCTAACAGGACTGGATTCGGCGCCCCTAAGCAGGCGCTACGTGGCCCCTTTTCCTAGGAAATACTCTTAGGTTAGCGCCCTAAATTATTACAACACACCGACCCGGACGCCAACCACGCCAGCCCGCAAGTATCCCGCCATTCCTTATGCTCCTGTCGCTTCATTTGCGAAGTACAGTATGAAGCGAAGGGATTGATATGAAGCGGCTGCGGTGCTGCATGGATATATGAGTACATACATGCAGCCGTATCTACCGTAGCGGTTACTGGCACGATGCCAACGGGAAACTCGTCCGAAATTGCTTCTGAGTCGTGTAGAACAAAGGCTTTTTTGCAGGTTTTTGACCGTTTCACTTCGCTTTTTCGCCATTTTCCACTATTTAGCACCCATGCTACCTATAGGCAGAGTACCAAATTATCGTGTCAACTGCCTTTAATGATCGATGAGTACCTTCCACGAAGGAAATAAACAGTTGGAATTTGAAGAGTGAAATGCTTCATCCCATCCAGTTCAGCTTTCCATCTGCAGTGCAAATTATTGTGGTGTTGTGCTACTTACGATGGTCTATAACGCATATCTAAACGGTGTTGAAGGAGTGCTATTTCCTCATGGATTCAAATACAGTCTATGGCAAAAGAGGGAATGTGATCATGAGTGAGTGTTGCTTCATAGTCGTTACTCTTTCTTGCCGATTTCTCAGGTTTTCAAAGGGAACGAAAACAAAAATGTAAATCTTGTTTGATTTGGTTCTTCCAAAATGCAATCAGAGACACTCTCTTGATTGCGATTTATGAGTAGTCGAGCCGGAACTCATATGTTCAGGTGTTAGTCGATCAACCAGCTAGTAGGAAAACAGCAGTTACAGTAGGAAATGCCTCAGACGGATCCCTTAGTTGCTTTTTATTCAATGTATAGATCGAGTAAGCGAAATAGAGAGACTGCGTGTGCGAGCAAGAAATTAGGCAAAGAGTGCGACAGGGCACAGAGCACATATGGCCACATCTCAGCACGGATTTCAGAGCCCTAAAGAGAAGAGAGAAGCTTCAGCTTGCTTACTGTCACGTCCCAGCAGCGAAAGAGGGGCATCCGCCAGTTGAGAAACCAGGTTTTCTACTCACGAAAGAGATCAGAGTCCTCGCTTATCGCGAATTTGCCTTCAAGTGAGATTTGCGCACAGTTAGTGACGAAGGCATAGACAAAAGTAGAACTTATGAATGGTGTACTTCACGGTGACTTTGATAATCCAAAAACCGGCACAATCCTACAGAGCTGCATGCACGATGCACGATCACCAGATGTTTTGATCCGTTCTTTGCACGAAGTGCTCACATCCACGGTCGACTGAAGGCCGTAGTGCTGCAGCGGCGTGAAAGGTCAGAGGGACAACGCTTTCAACACTACCGTGAAGATTTCTCCATCCCGGTTGTGGTTTTAAAACCTCGCACCTGTCATTTTTATTGCATTCTTTGAGCAGAAATTCACGACACTGTTACTACAATAATAATAATTGCAGCTGGCCGCAAGCTGCTAGAATGGCGGGAACAACAAACAAACGAGCCGAAACAGAAAAGTCAAGGGAGAGATTCATGGATGGAAGATAAACGCTGCAATTGTGCTTGGAACAAGTTAGCTGATTGGAGAACTCGCCCTGGTGTCGGCAAACATATACGATTCGCTGCGTGGAGAGGGTCTTATTTGGGGCATTCTTTCCCGTTTCTTCTGCTGTTTTCTCCGCAGACTTGCCACCTCTTATATACTAGGTTTGGAAAAAACCCTGCAACACTTTGGCCAAAATTTCGGACCAAATTTTCCTTCACGGAACGACACCTTAAACCTACAAGGAGGAACAAGCTCTTTTCCTGCATGGCACACGTCTGGGTAGCCGCCGGATATATGAGCAAGTATTCTGGACCGTCCACAATTCCTACCGACTAATCGTTCAACAAAGCTGCTGTCCTCCCCTACCGAGGAAAGAGCACTTGCATTCTTCCGGCTCTTCTAACTTTTTCTGAGTGCGTTCGGGAGACCTTCCTTTTTATTTCGGCTTTATACTTGTTGTCTTTTTTTCTTTTCACTCCATTTTGCCTTTCCTGGAAGCGCGCAGCAAACATGAAGCTCACTTTTCAGTTCCTTGCATGAGTCCCCATGACATGCACGGGAACCTTTTTAATACGTTCGGGGCGGCGCCGTTTCATCGAAAACTCCCGTTTGTCGAGCGACACTTAGGCAGTCATCCCGTCATGGTTGCGCGCTCGCGACGGAACCATAAACGCCTAAAAATTCACGAAAGCCGTTTTTCGCCATTCTTTTTACATTTTTCCCTTCTACAAGTTTTATCTAAGTTTCGGTAAATGAACTAGCTTTCTTGCCCTTTTTGATGTTCACTGGTACCGCACAAAGGGGATGTAGACTTTGATTCTTGTGAAAGTTCTTAGTTCCTCTTGTAAAAAAACCACTACTGCCTCACCTGGTTCCAAAAAATACACGAGAAATGTTTCTAGTATTACTTGTATATTATTTGTTTTATGATTTGTTCATAATTGCCAGTGAAAAGAAGAAAAAGATCATTCAAAAACAGGAAATCGCTCCAAGAATGCACGATTCGCCTAAAGAGGAAAGTTATTGAGTATTTTTTCAGGTGTACACGCCTCTTCTAATGTATGGGCATTATTTGTCCTTATTTATTGCATTATTATTTATATCCAATTGTTAGTGGGAAAAGAAAATAAAATACAAAAAACCAGCGAATAGGCGCGTGTACTCCCGGGAGTACACGATTCGCCGAAAGCGGAGTTTTTTCGTGTACTCCCGGGAGTACACGCCGCCGCGAACGTGTTAAAAAAGGCGCTACGCCTTGAATGATTTCCCCCGTAAATGTTTCACTTTTTTCCAACTTAATAATGGACGCCATATCCGTAATCTTGCCATCACACACCGTGCCTTCAGATATTGGAACGTGTAATGAATAAACCAGGGCCATCAAAGCAAAAATTAAGGACGGGGATAGCCGAGTGGTTGAGGATGTAGGCTCATGTTTGCAGGCTCATGTCTGCACTCTAGCAATGAGTTCGATCCCTGCCGAGGCACAAACCATGCCTTGCAAAAATTGCAAAAATGGGGACGATACCAGCGTCAGGCCCAGGTTGACAGGCCGGCTGATGGAGGAACCCGTCACAACAATCATGACAAGTCGCAAAAGTATCAGTGTAAATGCTAGGACGTCACCCGGAAGTGGCGCGCAGAACCCTCGCCCGAGTTCTGTGGTCAGTATGCGAGGGCTACCGAGGGGTGAACGACCTCGGCCAAAGAAGCTAGTTCGAATTGGGACTCTGAACGCAGGGTCGCTTACCGGAAGTTTTGCGTGGTTGCCGACCCCATAAGACGCAGCAATGTAAGAGTGCTATGCCTTCAAGAATGTGCTGGGAAGGAGAGAAGGCGTAGCTGTGGTTGAATCCCTCAAGTACTGGTCTCCTCTGTGAACAGGATCAGCGATTTGGATCCAACTCTATTTTCTAATTAGCTTTCTAGGTTGCTAATTAGCTTTCTGTGTTTCCCCCAAAGAGGGCTGAACCGATCGTGCAATCCTATCAATCCAGTGGGGCGACGAGATTGTGTCCAAACTACCTTCCCTATTGGGACCTCCAAATCTCCAGAAAAGATTGGGGCCCTCTTTTGATTTGGAAGGATCTTTTGTCGTCGCCATCATCAGGTGACCAGAGAGGGTCAGTTTGATACAGTACTGTTGCGGATCGGAGTTGAAGCTGTCCTTTGCCCTCTTCCTCTTTCTCCGGGATAGTGATGGCGAAATATCGCAGAAACGAAATTCTTTCACTAGATTTGACAGCACCAAGTCGAACAGATCATTCTTTCTGTTATAGACGTAGAGTCGCAAGAGCTGTTGGCTGATGTTGTGAATGTTGCGTGGAGCTCACTATTACAGATGTCGAAGTCCTGCATCACCACAACATGTTGTCATCATACTTTTTACCAAAAAGGCAAACGAAGATATAAAAAATTCGAAGCAGATATGAAAGTGTATTTGGCCCCTTGCTTGAGTGAGTTAGGTGAGAGTGCAATTTTTCTCGGAAGTCGTTCACAAGGCTCAATAACGAGCATTGAGGGGCCTTGATGGTTGAACTGCTACGTAAAACTACTCTCTAGTGTTCAGCATAAAGTACAAGCATAAGGCATAAGCGTCCGAGAACGCTTCCTCAGCGTCCGAGAACGCTTCTCATCCTCAAATGCCATGGCGAGTTGGTGTCCTTTGTTGGCCACCGTGGGCGTGATCCTAGAAACGATTATTGTGCCTTTGAATATGAAAGCGGGAATATGAAAGTGAAAGGCTGATGAATCGATTAATCTACTCTTCACCAGGTTCAACGACTTCCTCCAAAACTTGGTGGATTATCTTCACCGCAATGTCGGCACGGTTTTCCACGAAACTTCAAATCACTGCTGAGGAGTATTCTTTCGTGAAAACAATCGTTCTCTTTTCTGGAGGTAATAGTTTACTTTGTGTTTCACTATTGAAAAAAAAGCAAGCGAAAGCCTCACAGGAGCACGGTGTCCAGCATTTCTAGAAGAACAGCGAAACTTAACGGTTGATTGTCAATGAATCGAAGGGTGGGGGCATTATGTACCCCGAAACCAGCCTTGTCCCTGAGTCTTCTAGAAGTTTCATGTATGAGCCAGAAACATATGAGATAACGGCCCATTCCGTGGCTTTGGCACATATAAGCTCATGTTAATTTTAGTGTTTTTAGTGAGAAATCATCCTTTAGAATATGAGTTACCAGAACGCCCAGGTGCACGCATGATTGTACTACGGTCCCATAAAGGGGCGAGGTATGAAAATCACCGGGTTACTAGGCAGTCGTCCTGAAGTAGAACAGAGATAACGGAAAGAGAGCACGCCATCGTTGTGATAAGCACAAGGGGGAGGGGGTCGGAAGCGCGGTGGGGAG